GTTCTGCTCATGGTTTCTTTACAGTCTTGCTGAGCTGTCTATGTTCTTTTCCAGTTGAAATACTTTGTCTTCATTGTCTGATGTTCTATCTTCTAAGTGTTCTACTCTGCTGGTAGTATTCTCCATTGAGTTTTTAAGTTGGTTTATTGCTTCCTGCATTTCTAGGATTTCTGTTTGTTTGTTTTTTATAACCTCTATCTCCCTGTATAGTTGATCCTTTGCTTCCTGGATTTGTTTGCGTAATTCATTGTCAAAGTGATCTTTCATTGTCTGATTTTGCTGTTTAATGTCTTCCTTGATACTCCAGATCATCTGAAGCATGTATATCCTGAATTCTTTATCTGACATTCCATCTGCTGCAGCTGTTACCTCTTCTAAAGTTGAGTTGACCTACATTGCTTGTGGTCCTTTCTTTCCTTGTCTTTTCATACTGCTTGCGTTTCTTTCTTCTTGGTGAAACTGTTGTGTTTTTGAAAATTTTTCCCCCCCTGTATATTTATATTGCTCTTGTATAGTTGAAAAGTCTCCCTTGCAGGTGCGGGCGGGGACTCTGCTCTGCCCCTCTTCCAATTGGTGTGAGGTGTCTACCACGCCCGCGGACCCCTGGGCCTGATCCGCCGTTCTGTCGCAGGTCTGCCTACCTTGCAGGTGGGGGCGAAGGCTCTGCCCTGCCCCTCCTACCACGCCCGGGCCCGCTAGGACTGATCTGCAGGTTGGTCGCCGGTCTGCCCACCTTGCGGGCCCGGGTGTCAGTTCCGCTCCGCCCCCACTCCAATTGGGGTCGCTTGACCACCACACAGGCGGGCCGCTGGGCCTGTTCTGAGCGCGGGCGAAGGCTCTGCTCTGCCCCTACTCCAGTTGGGGTGAAGTGTGTACCACGCTGTCAGGCCGCTGGGCCTGATCCGCCAGTCTGTCGCAGGTCTGCTTACCTTGCCGGCGCAGGCGGCGGCCCTGCCCTGCCCCTCCTACCACGCCTGCAGCCCGCTGGGCCTGATCTGCAGGTTGGTCGCAGGTCTGCCTACCTTGCAGGCGCGGGCTGTGGCCCCGCTCCTCCCCTCTGGCTCTACGACAAAGCGAGAGAGACTCAGGTATCTGTGACTCACCCTCCCTACCAGGGGACCAACTGTTTCCGTTGCCGCTGGCACCAATGAAGTTCTCTCCTCGGCCGCTCTCCGATGACATTAGATCTCTGCCATGCTGGCATCCCCTGTTCTATGGCTGAATCCCATTTTCTTCTCTTCCAATAGGCAGAGCTGTGCCCTCTGAGCCGAGCTTCTGCCCTCTATGTGCTGACAGAAATCCCTGTACGGTGGCTCCTGGGAGTCTCTCAATCCTGTTAGTTCAGAGCCCTTTCACTTATCCGGCCCCTCCCCCTGTTCCTCCTCCCAGCCAGCCAGCCAGGTCCTGTTCACCAGAGGCGGTTCCCCAAGGATCTGATTACACTTGCAGCCCCACCGCGTGTCCTATATCCCGAACGATGAACACCCTCTCTGTCATTCATCTAAGCCCCAGTGCTGTGGTGGGGTGATCTGGGAACCAACAGTTAAATTTTTCCGGACCCCTTTGGTGGGCACGCCCCCAGAAACTGGCGGCTAAGATCTTGGGTGTCGCCACTGGTATTAAGGAGAGGTGGGGATCTGGAATCCCCTGTGCCCTCCTACAGACACGCCCCCGGAGAGATTCCGAGGTTTCCTGGCTGCTTGTATCTGGAGGGGGTGGGAGTCACACACCTGCTAACGTGGATTCCGCTGGGAAGGAATTCTGTCGGCGGAACTTTGGTGATGTCACCTCTCTGCTTTGGCGGGCCCCAGGCTCCTTGCCGGAGTGTCCGAAGGGAGGGGTGGGACTGGTCTGTCTCTGGTTGGTTTCAGCTCCCGGTTCGCTATTTCATGAAGGCTTGGCGAGAGACCTCTTCCTAGAGTCCCTGCACCGCTCCTGCTGAGCTGGGCCTCGGAGGCTATCCGCCCTGACGCCGGGGCCGGTGCAGGCAGCCGACAGTCGCCGAATCGCGCGGGCAGCGGCTGGTGGGTCTGGACCTCTGCACTGAGTGGCGGAGATTCACTCGTCTAGCGCAAACTGTCACCTCCAAAAATCCTACCGATTCCCGGCCGGTCTCTCTTTAGTGGAATTTTGCTAGGAGTTTCTCAGCAGGTCGAATCTAAGCATATCCATGCGTCTCTCTCACCCCGTTGTTGAGGAGGTACTGAAAGCGCTGCCTCCCCTCTCGCCGCCATGTTGGATCCTCATGTTCAAACTCTTTATTTCATAGAATAAATTTCATTCTCTGTTCTCTAGGTCCAAGTTTTCAAAGCCCTGTTAAAATTTCACATATAGGGAAACCTTATCTGATACTCCATTGTAAAATGATTTCTTCTTTAACTCTTTTGGTTTTATTGTTCATTTTTTTTTTTTTTTGGTGATGAGCAGCACATTTATCTCTACTTTTTAGAAAGTTTTGTTATTTTGAGATGGGGTCTTGCTATGTTGCCCAGGTGTTCAAACTCCTGGGCTCAAGGGGTCTGCCTGTCTTTGCTTCCCTAATCAGCCAGCTACTTGCTAGAATTATAGGCACATTTTAAAGTAACATTTCCTTTAAGAAACCATAATTTACCTTCTATACTGTTTTTTTTCTGGACTGTTAATAAATGTTAAAATTTAGTTTGTATATATTGCTATAGCTATGACTCAATGAAGATTGATTATATATGTAGTACTTTAGGCTGAGTATTATTCCCCAGGCATCTACCATTTTTTTTTTTCATAAGTTTTGAAAAGAAGTTATTCTTGAGTACAAGGTTACATAATCAAATGCCTGCAGTATCAGGTTGACAACATCAATATATGAATTGTTGTGTATACGAGACATGAAATGAAAGAGCTCTGATAAACTAAAGTGTATACCCCATCAAAGGAATTCAAGCCAAATTCTTAAGGTTTTGGGCTAGCTCTGCTTGTGACCCCTGTTCTATTTTTGTTTCTGTTGTTGAACTCTACTACTTAACTTTAAAATGTGTTAAAAACCAGAGTATATAGAATATTCATAATAAAGAATTTAAAAAGGTGGGGATCACATAAATAATATATATTGCATTAGGTTTTTTGTAGCAAAAGTTACAAACTTTTCTCAAATATGTACAAATATCTATGTATAGACACACATATATATGGTAATATTATGTTGGTTTCATAAGGACAAAGATCACATCTCTCTTGTTCACTGTTCAACATTTTCCTCAAAGACTGGCAAATATTATTTGAAAGAGTGGCTATACTTTTTAATTTTTTTCCCCTTCTTTTGGTAATTCTTTACTGTGTATAGCATAACCACCTAGTGGTACTAAACTCTTTTTAAAACTTGAAGTATTTTTATTCCCATATTCCCATGTACACTGTCATTACTCTTCTTGAGACACATGCACAAGATGAGCTATAAGCTATAATTGTTCATGGACTTTATAAATTGTTACTCACATCAAAAGAGAAATATCAGCAACTATAGGACATTTTTTTCTACTTCTGTAAAAATAAAATTGTAAAGTGGTAGGTTGCAGATTTGAAGTCCTTAGGTCATAGAAATGTTTCATAGATAACTCTAAAAGCTTTTCTATGTAACCCAGCATTGATTATATAGTGTATCTTTAATGTGTCATGATTTTGAAAGAATGTGTGAACTATGACTTCACTGTACTGCTGTCATCAGACAATTTTATCCTAGGTAATTTTGGCCCAAGAACGTTAAATATTAGAAAGTTTTAGTTAGCCACATTTATGGTCTTCTTTTAATCATTAAAACTTGTCATCCAAATTCAGTAAAGAACTGATTCACATCAAAGTTTATGTTAATAGAAATTAGTGACAATGTTAATTGGATTCCAGATCTCCTCTAAATCATCAATTCTGAGATGATTTTGAATACATATTACTTTCACAGAGGAATTATGGAAATGGTAGTGGTATTATATTTGTTAGGAATTGGAAAGAAGAGAATGGAAAACACAGTCTTATCATGTCTGTTAAGATGGGGAGTAAGAGAAAGTACCTTAGTTGAGAATATAGTCTTAACCTTTTTGTGTCTCAGCTTTCACAAGTATAAAACAAGAATAAGAATGTTGCTTCTTTAGGCTGGGGTTGTTGCTCAGTGGTATAGCAGCTGCTTAGCATGTATGAGGCCCTGGGTTAGATCCCCCTGCACTCAAAAAAAGAAGAAAGAAAAAAATTAGGGGTGAGGATTGTAGCATTTATCTAGCATGAGTCAGGTTCTGGATGAGCCAGGCATGGGGCACAGGCCTGTAATCCCAGTAGCTCCGGAGGCTGAGGTAGGAGGATCTCAAGCCAGCCTCAGCAACTTAGTGAGGCTCTGAGCCATTTAGTGAGACCCTGTCTTGAATAAAAAATAAAAATTGGTGGGGGTTGAGGATGTGACTCAGTGCTTGAACACCCCTACGTTTAATCCCTGGTGCCAAAACAAAAGAAATTTGTTATATGTGAAGTGCCTAGAAAGCTACATGGCTGTAGCGTTTTTTGTTAAATGAACATTTTAATAGCTGGAGTACAAAACTGTAAAAACTGATTGAGTGGACATATTTGGGAGGATTCAAATGAGAGTAGAAACTAATATGAGTTGTTGCAGGATTATCTAAAAGCGACGTAGATGAGTTAAAAGTTTGTGCTGGGTTGGATAGGCAGAAATATGTTTAGGAGGAAGTGAGTGTGAAGGGAGGATAAGTTCATTTGGCTTAATCAGCTATGTTGGATGATTGGTCTTGTAACCTTAACTGAATTGGCTTTCATTAATGTTATAAGTTCATTTGTTTTCTAGAATCAACTCCAGAATTGCAACCAATTTCTGAAAATAGACTAGACTAGAAATCAAACATTTTTATTATTTTTCGGCTAAGACTATGAAATAAAAATTGGAAACTATTAATATATTTTGGGGGTCACTTTCACCAGTTAAAAACTTAAAAAATTAATAATATCTTTGCTTTTATGTTTTATAGGTAATTAACAATGCATGTGCCACTCAAGCCATTGTAAGTGTGTTATTGAACTGTACCCATCAAGATGTTCATTTAGGAGAGACATTATCAGAGTTTAAAGAATTTTCACAAAGTTTTGATGCAGCTGTGAGTAAAATCTTCTTCCTAATCCTAAAATGACCTCTTTGTCATAGTTCTTATTTTAATATACTGCTTCTAAAATTATTTTAGATGAAGGGTTTGGCACTGAGCAATTCAGATGTGATTCGACAAGTACACAACAGTTTTGCCAGGTAATGAGTCTTTATATTAAATAAGTACAGTTTCTGTTTTTGTTTCTTTGTCTCATTGTTTTTTTCTTAACTATAGACAGCAAATGTTTGAATTTGATGCAAAAACATCAGCCAAAGAAGAAGATGCTTTTCACTTTGTCAGTTATGTTCCTGTTAATGGAAGACTGTATGAATTAGATGGATTAAGAGAAGGACCAATTGATTTAGGTAATCTGGTTTCTTGGTGTTTAACTTTTTTTTTTAAAACATTTATTTTTTAGTTGTAGATTGACACAATATCTTTATTTTATTTTTATTATGTAGTGCTGAGGATCGAGGTGAGTGCTTGTTGCAAGCTAGGCAAGCGCTCTACCTCCGACACAACCCCAGCCCTAGTATTTATTTTGACAAGGACAAAAAAGTTGACTATTCATCTTTATTTAAACTATAGTACTGCTTACGTTTTAAAAGTGGAGGTTACTATAAGGTCGTATAATATGAAAGTGTTAGCTTTTTATGGAATTAAAATAACATAGGAATGACATGTTAACTGCAATAATTCAATTGACCTTTAATTTTTTTTCTAAGAGAAAATATTTTTTTAACCCACAGATTACATAATTTATATTTTATTTTCCAGTTAACTTAAAAAAATACTCAGTAAATTTAAAAGGTTGTTATTGTCATTTTTATTTACTGGGGGATAACAAGCATTTCTTACATCATCTTGGAATAAAATATTTTCATTTGGCTTGAGTATGGTGGCTCATGCTTGTAATCCCAGCGTCTTGTGAGGCTGAGGTTCAGTCCCAAGTACAGTAAATTTTTTTTTTTTTTTTAACTTGAAGTTGGATCATTAACAATCACTTTAATTTACTGTTCAGTAATCTCCTATTAAATATCTTTCTTTGTATTTAGATAGAATGTTATTGTGCTCTTCTTTTTACTAAAGGGCAAAATTGTCCTTATCTTACCCTGTCTTTAACCTTAAGGAAAGATGATAAATGGTTAGTAAGGGTACAATCTGTAGTCCTGAAATAATACTAAAACAATGATCCACAAAAATTTGTTTTTTTTTTTTTTTTTGCCCCCCACAGTGCTGGGAATTGAACCCAGGAACTTGTACATGCTAGACTGCATCCAAGCCCAGCCATAAATAATTTTAACTCCTTATTATGAGCTTATTAAATTTTCTCTTTTCCTTTTTAAAATGGATTGAATGAAGTCCAGCAGAACTTGTTTTAGTTGAGAATCTGATATTATATGCTATTCATAAAATTTTGTACTTTTTTTTTAAATTTAATTTTTTTTTTTAAAGAGAGAGTGAGAGAGGGAGAAAGAGAGAGAGAGAAAGAGAGAGAATTTCAATATTTATTTTTTTTTAGTTATCGGCGGACACAACATCTTTGTTTGTACGTCGTGCTGAGGATCGAACCCGGGCCGCACGCATGCCAGGCGAGCGCGCTACCGCTTGAGCCACATCCCCAGCCCATTAAGTTTAAATTTTTAAAAATATTTATTCTTACGTTTTGGACTCACATTATGGATGGATTTCACTTTTTAATTTTTGAGTTAGGATTGTGGGAGTCAGGTAAATAAGGATTGAATCCTTATTTTGTCCTAACATGTGGGTTAGTCTTTCTAATCTTATAGTTTTATCATCTGTAAAGTCAGGGTAGTTACCCTTATCTCACAGGATTGTGAGTTTAAATGAGTAAACTTCCTAATTTGTTACTTCCTCAAATATTTGCTTAGTATCTCCCATGTAAGACAATAATATGACAGTACAAATTATGCTAATATTATTTCTCCTAATCTTTAATCAAGACAATAAGAATTAAAGCTTAATATAGTAATGCTAAAATGACTTACTGTCCTGAATTTGCCAAACGTACTTATAGAAAGATTTTTGAGGGAGTGTTGATGTTGATTACGCTTATTTTTGTTTTAATTGGTTTTAAAATTTCTTTCTAGGTGCTTGCAATCAAGATGACTGGATCAGCGCAGTACGGCCAGTCATAGAAAAAAGAATACAAAAGTAAATGCTCAGCTAATTTCATTGGCATAAACATTCAGGATTTTAGTTTTGTTTGTTTTTTCTTGTTTTTTTTTTTTTTGAGCACTGTATGTAGAACATTACTTTTGATTGCATTAATGCATTCAGGAAATCTATTTCTAAAAATGTCCAAATTTTACATGGATGTCAGATATGACATAACTTTAGAGAATTTAAATGTGCTAGTCTCCATTAAGTGAGGTGTTTTCAAATATTTGTATAGATGGATGTTTTTTAAAATTTTGTTTTTGATGGCTTTTTAAATACTCAATTATTTAGAGGTAATTATATATTCATACTCAGTTATAAGAAAGAATATAGACATATTGTGTATTCTGCCTTGCATGGTAGTATCTTGCAAAAACTATAGTATAATATCACAGCCAGGATATTAACATTGATATCATCAAGACAGAGCAAATAAATGGAATCGTACATTGTGTTATCTTTTTACATTAGTTTTTTTTTTCACTCAACATAACTGGAGATTATTCTGAGTTGTTAAATATATCAGTAGTTTATTCTTAGTTGATGTGTACTACTCTGGTGTGAACATATCAGTTTTTTGCCTATTAACTCATTGAAAAACATATGGATTACATAGGCGTTTTTTGCTATTATGAATAAAACTGCAGTAAGCATTTTTGTACACTTTCATATAAATATAAATGAGATAAATGCATAGGAGTGTCCATAAAGTTTTATGGTAAATGCATGTTTAGTTTTTTCAGAAACTACCAAACTCTTTTCCATAGTGGTTACGCTATTTTACTTTCCTAGAAAATATGAATAATCCAGTTTCTCTCTGCATCCTTTCTAGTATTTGGTGGTGTCAAATTATTTTGTTTTATCCATTCTTATATTTCATTGTGATTTTTTGTCTATATTTTCCTATTGACTGATGATGTTAAAAATCTCTTTATGTCCTTTGCCCATTTTCTAATTTTTGACTGTTGAGCCCCCAGTGTTTTTTAAATACTTGTTCTTGGTCAGACATGTTGCCTGCAAATACTATTTTCTAGTCTGTAGCCCATCCTTTCAACATGGTTTCTTATAGAGCAGAGTCTTATTCCCAGTGAAGTTCTATTTATCAATATTTCTTGCTATGAATTATATTTTTGTTCACAAGATTAAAAGTGCTTTGCCTCACCCTAGATCCTGTTTTCTTTTTCTTTTCCTTAGAATGTTTATAGTTTATTTTATATTAAATCTGTGATCTGCTTTAGGTAGTTCTGTATATGGTTTGGCATTTAGGTCAAGATTTTTTTGTTATTGTTGTTTTTTGTTTATACTTACACATATTCAATTGCTTTATCATCAGTTGTTAGAAAAGACTATCCATTTTCTACTGAATTCTTCCTGAACCTTTAAAAATCAAATTAGGCATATTTGAATGATTCTATTTTGGGATTTATTATTCATCTATTGTCCTGACAGTAGCACACAGTCTTGGTTGTTGTAGCTATGTCTTGAAATGAGGCAGACTGATGCCTTCAACTTCATTTCTTTCTTTGAAATTGTTGTAGCTATTCTGGTTCCTCTGCTTTCTCGTATAAATTTTCATTTTTTATTTTCTCTGTAGCCACAAAAATTCTTAGATAGAATTGTGATAGGAATTGTATTAAACATTTAGATCAATTTGAGGAGAATTGTTATCTGTAGTATGTTGAGTTTTCCAATATGAATCTGGTCTCTGCATTTATTTAGATCTCTAAATTTCTTCTATTTATTTATTTTTGTATGCCCCGTGTGTGTGGGGGGCATTCTTTTATCAGCATTTTGTGGCTTTTGGTATATAAATCCTGTACACATTTTGTCTGATTTATACCCAAGCACTTCATATTCTTTTGAGTGATATTATAAATGATATTGTATTTTAATTTTTTGTTTCCATGTCATCATTGCTAATACATGGAAATAAAATTGTTTTTTTCACCCTTTGTCTTACATCCTCTGTACTGAACAGATCTAAATTTTATGGCATTTTTCTACATAGATAATCAAATCATTTGCAAAAAAGGGACAACTTTGAATTTATTTCTCCTTTCAGCTTTATCATTTTTGCTTCATGCATTTTCCAGCTGAGTTGTTTGGTGCATGCATATTTATCATTACTGTTTCTTGTTTTTGGATGAACATTTTTATCAATACATAATGTCCCTTTTGCCGTCTCAGTCTCTAATAGTTTTCTTTGCTGTGAAGTTTGTCTGTCTATGTAGCTACTCTTGCTTCTTTGGATTAACATATGTATGATTTTTGTTTTCCTTTTTTCTATTTTTAACTTACTCATATCATAATTAAAGTGAGTTTTTTTTTAAGGGAGTCATTTATTTGATGTATTGAGATCACTTACATCAAATGCAGTGAATTTATAAGATCTGAAATTAAGTGTACATTTAATATAATTATATGTTATGATTAATTCTGCCATTTTTCTTTGTTTTTGTTTTATTTTCTATTTTTTGCCTATTGTAAGTTATTTAAATACTTTTGAAATTCCATTTTTATTTATATGTATTATTCTTAGTGTATTTCTTGTGTGTGTGTGTGTGTGTTAGTTACTGAGGATTGAAACCAGGGATGTTGTGCTATGAGATACCTCCCCAACCCTTTTAATTATTTGTTTTGATATAGGATCTCATTAAGTTGCCCAGGCTGATCTCCAGCTTGTGAATCTCCTGCTTTAGCCTCCCAAGTAGCTGGGATTATAATCATGCACCACTACATTTGGCTTAGTGTATTACTTGTATTTTGTTTTTAGTGGTTTTTAAGTTTGTCACAGTCTATTGGTGTCAACGTTTTACCTGTGTGGGTGTAATACAGAACCTTACCTTCCTTTACATACTCTATATAACACAGTTAAATAATTCTTCCGTATACATTTTAGGAAAACCTTTTTCCCCCCTCCTTTGGTACTCAGGATAGGACTCAGGGGCACTTTACCACTGAGATACATCCCCAGCCCTTTTTTAAAATTTTGAGACAGGGTCTCACTAAGTTGTTTAGAGGCTTGCTAAATTGTTGAGGCTGCCCTCAAGTTTGTGATACTCCTGCCTCTGCCTCCTGAGCCATTAGGATTACAGCTGTGTACCACTGTGGTTGACTGGAAACAGTATGATTTTCACTTTAACACAAAACATAATTTAACAAAAGTTAAAGAGAAGGAAACATTTTATTTAACCATTTTTTAAATTCTTTTCATTTTGTTATTCCTTCCTGGTGTTCCAGGATACCTTTCTTTCTTTTTCTTTTTTAATGTTTATTATTTAGTTTTAGGTGGACACAATAATCTTTATTTTACTTTTATGTGGTACTGAGGATTGAACTTCATGCACGAGCATGCTACCACTGAGCCACAACCCCAGCCCAGGATACCTTTCTTTATCATTTCCTTTCTGCTTAGAAAATTGTTAGCTTATCCAAAGAGTAAGTTCTAAATGAACAGATTTCTTGTTTTTCTTAATCCAAAATATTTAAATTTTTCTTTGATTCCTGAAGGATATTTTCACTAGATACAGAATTCTGGATTGACATTCTTTTCTTTCAGCACTTGAAAAATTTTATGCCACTTCCTTTTGGCCACCATTTTTTTTTTTTTTTTTTTACTGTAAATGCATTGTCATTCTCCTGTAGGCATGGCGTTTCCCACATGCTGCTCTCAAGATATTTTTCCTTCTCTTTAGCTTTTAGAAATTTGATACATTGTGTTTTGGGATTTGCTCAGCTTCTTAAATCTATAGGTATATGTTGAGTCAAATTTGGAAAGTTTTCAGCCATTATACCTTGGAATACTTTGTAAACCTCACCCTTTTTCTCCTCCCTTTCCTGGACCCCAAGGACTTGAATGTTGGATCTTTTATTTAGTCCCACAGGTCCCTGAGGCTCTATTAATTTTGTCTATTTATTTTCTTGGTTCAGATTGGGTAATTTCTGTTGTTCTGTATTTTAAAAAGTTCACTGATTCTTTCCTCTGGGAGTACCCTCCATTCCATTTTCCTGTTTGAGCCCATCCATTGAGGTTTATTTTTTATTTGGGTTACAATAAAATTTCCATTTGTCTCTGTTTAATATCTTGTTTTTTTGTTGAGACTTTTCATTTTTCACTTGTTTCTAGTGTATTTGTAATTGCTCCTTGAAACATTTTTTTACAACTCTTTGTAAGATAAGTTTGCCATCTGTCATCTCATTATCTATCAGGTGGATTATTTATTCAGTTTGAGATTTTCATGGTTTAAGTATGAACCTGAACATTCTGGGTATTATATAATAAGACTCTGGGTCTCATTAAATAAGTTCTGTTTTGGCTGGACATGGTGGCTCATGCCTGTAATCCCAGCAGACCAGAGGCTGAGACAAGAGGATCCCAAGTTGAAGGCCAGCCTCAGCAGTTTAGTGAGGTCCTATGCAATTTAGTGAGGCCTAGTCTCAAAATAAAATGGGTTGGGGATGTGGCTCAGTGGTTGAATGCCCCTTGGGTTCAATTTCTGATAATAAATAAGCAAATAATTAAAAGTTCTGTTTTTGCTGTTTTTTTAAAAATAATATTTCTTTTTTAGTTATAGATGGACACAATGTCTTTATTTTACTTTATGTGGTGCTGAGGATCGAACCCAGTGTCTCATGCATGCTGGGCGAATGCTCTACCTCTGAGCCACAACTCCAGCCCATGTTTCCACTGTTTTTAATGAACACTGCTCTGGCAGGGTAAATTGGAGGTGCTTCTTCATTACTGCCAGATAGGATTGTAAGTTCAGGTTTTCTACACAGCTTCTATTAAGGAGGGAAGAGCTTCCTTGGTTTCCTTGTTATTGCTGGGCAGGGATCCGGGTTTGGGCCTGCAAACAAGGCTTCCATGGATACCATTCTGTTTGTGAGAGGTCAGAGTGCCTTGTTAACAGATCCCTGCATGGCTTCTACTGATACGGAAGTGGGACAGGGATGGGCTTCTTTGCCATTAAATGATTGTTTTGGTTTCTATTCAACGTCCTCTAATAGTGCAAATGGGTATTGTTATTTTCACCTGGCAGGAATAAAATTCCCAACTCACTACTCAGATCTTCATTTTGACACTAACTTGGGTGCCTCATTACAGCCTAGTGAGGTGGGAAGTCTAGGCTCTCTTCTTCACTTTTGTTGATGTGGTTTGGAGTGGGATCATTGTTGTGTTTGGCTACAGCAGAATAATTATTATCCAAAAGTTTTCTGTCTTGCCACACTGCCCCTGTTCTGATTGACTAGCAAGAACAGATTTTTGTTGGACTTTTTATTTTTTCTTTTTGGCTGTTGCTGGTTTCTTCATTTCCAAGTCTTGGATGAATGATGAATGAGGCATAAAGAGAACTCAGGGAATTCATCATCATGTCATTCTTGGGTCTTGAGTTCCCTAGCTTGTCTGCCTTCTCTCTCATTTGAACATTTGGTCTTTGTCTCTTTCTAATATATATGTTCTGGATGTTGAACTTAATGGGAAGAATAGGAACATGCAAATTCCTCAAGTGAAAATTTTAAAACAGTTTTTACATATTTCATGCTTTTATTAGGCTGTGTTCTGTCTCATGAATAGAACTGTGAGAAACCAATGGAGGTGACCTAATGCAAAATGGGCTTAACTTTTTTATATGTTTTTATCTTGAGTAAGTGCCATATACATGTTATAGATAATTTTTAAAATGTCAGTTTCTACTGTAAACAAGCTTATGCTATAAGAGATTTCATTGGTATCAGAGTAGTAAAAAACAACATTCAGAAATTTCACTACAACATATAATTATACATTATATTAATGAAATGCATAAATGTTTTACATATTTATATATAAGGTAGAAATAAAAATTTAAAATATATTAATTAAAAATAGAAACTGTATCATGACTGAAAAAATTGTGCAGTCAGGAGTAATTACAATCAAGATTCAAGCATAGCTGGGCACAGTGGCACATGCCTCTAATCCCAGCATCTCGGGAGGCTGAGGCAGGAGGATTTGGAGTTTGAAGAGAGCCTCAGCAAAAGTGAGGCTCCAAGCAACTCATTGAGATCATGTCTCTGAATAAAATACAAAATAGGGCTCAGTAATTGAGTGCCCCTGAGTTCAATCCCTGGTACCAAAAATAATAATAATAATAAGATTCCAGTATAATTAATCCAACAAATGTGGGGTCTTAGTTTATTCTGTTTTCAGATATTTTTAAATAAATGAATTTTCATTATTTCTTATAAAGTTAGGGAAAATGATGAAATATGTTACATAAAATTTATTACTTCAAATGTTTTAAGTGTACACTTAGAACATTTACAAATATTTGTGATGAAATTTAGCTAAATTTTTTGCTATAGTTATTATTACTTTTTCATATACAAAAACTTTTAGAAATGCCAATTTGAATTATTAGCCAGTTGATAGGGTAACTATCACAAAGAATAATGGTTTACTCATAGTGGATTAGCTTAATAGCAATGGTTTTGTAATTCTGTAAAAATCTTAAAATAACTCTTTTCTAGGTACAGTGAAGGTGAAATTCGATTTAACTTAATGGCTATTGTGTCGGACAGAAAAATGATTTATGAACAGAAGATAGCAGAGTTACAAAGACAACTTGCAGAGGTTTGTGGCCATATTTTTAAGTACAAAGTTCTAGTTTAGTAATTATCTCAGGGAAAGTATCTTTTTTAAAATATACATTTAAGCTAGGTATGGTGGCACTACCTGTAATCCCAATGGCTTGGAAGGCTGAGACAGGAGGATCGTGAGTTCAAAGCCAGATTCAGCAACTTATTGAGACCGTAAACAATTCAGTGAGACCCTGTCTGTAAATAAAATAAAATATAAAAAAGAGCTGGGGATGTGGTTAAGTGCCCCTGAGTTCAATCCCCAGTACAAAAAAAAAAAATATATATATATATATATATATGTATATATATATATATACACACACACACACACATACATACATACAGTTGGTTTTTAAAATATATACACATATTTTCAATACATATATATATATATTTATATATATACACACACACTTAATCAAATCTCCTAAATAGAGATTAAGGGAATGCAATCTGGATTCAGGCTACTTTGATTTAGTTCCTGGCTTTGTCAGACAGTGGCTGAGTTTCTTAATGTAGTGTTAGAATAGTAGTATTTAGTTTATGAGGAGGTTATCATAAGGATAAATGAGAACAATATATGTAAACCATTTAAAACAATGAGTGACAACTGGAAGGGCTAAGTAAATGTTAGCTATGAACTGTTGTGACTATTATGATTTCCTTATATAATTAAGCAAGTTAGAGTATATTTCTCAAAGAGTTAATTGAGTACTTTTAGATTCACATCTACTTTCTACTAGTCTTTATGATTACCTTTCTGTAGTAAATATGATTAGAGAAGAGAATTAATAGTAGACAGTCTTTTTTTATAATCCCTTGATAGTATGTTCTTAAGAGTATATTTAAGGTAGTTTATTGTATAGGTTAGTAAAAGATAGCAGTACAGTATATTCATAGTATAGATGGTATTTAGGTAGAAATTTGTGTGTTATTGTAAAACTTAGAAATATGGAAGGTACTTTTTAGAGCTTTCATCCTTTAATATTGCCATTGTTAGGTTGATATTTTGTCAATATTTCTAAGTGTAGAAACTTGAAAATAATTATAATGTGTTAATCACTTAAAAATATTCTGGACTTAAGCCTCAATCATTAGGGTGTGCTATTTTTTTTCTTTCTTCTAAGGAGGAACCTATGGATACAGATCAGGGTAGTAATATGTTAAGTGCTATTCAATCAGAAGTTGCCAAAAATCAGATGCTTATTGAAGAAGAAGTACAAAAGTTAAAAAGATACAAGGTATGTTTCTAAATATGTTTCTTTAATGTTTTAATAAGAAGCAGTATATTTTGAGATGAAGGTGTGTTTAATGATTGCATTCCCTTTCATCATTTACCAGTTTTCAGAATAATGTGTTGATTCTCTGGCACCCTGCAAAGATAAGTAAGATGGTTTTTCTTTCTTTTTTTTTTTTTTTCATATTTATTTTTTAGTTTTAGGTGGACACAATATCTTTATTTTTTTATTTTTATGTGGTGTTGAGGATTGAACCCAGCGCCCCGTGCATGCCAGGCGAGTGCACTACTGCTTGAGCCACATCCCCAGCCCCTGGTTTTTCTTTTTTAAAAATGTTGTTACGAACAGATATTTAATCTGTTTGAAGCTTTAGTTTACTGCAGTTATTCTTATTGATGCTCAAATTATCCCGTATTTAGACTCAGGAGCCACTTCAAGCAGTCTCATGTCTTTGACATGATACCTTTATGGTTTGATGGTTTTGAGATTTTATTTACACACACACACACACACACACAATCAGAATAACAATACCAGTAATGTTCATAAGAATTGAATTGTTTTCCTTAAATTTGTTTTATTCCTTAGGATGTATCCCATTTTATTTATTTATTGTGTGGTACTGGGGATTGAACAGGGTTGGGGGGCACTTTACCATAGAGCTGCATTCCAGTCCTTTCAATTTTTTAAATTTTGAGACAGCGTCTCACTAAGTTGCTGAGGCTGGTCTCAAATTTAGGATCCTCTTGCCATGGCCTCCTGAGTCGCTGAGATTATAGGAGTTACAGGATTACTCTTCCAGCTAGTACATATCCTATTTTAGATGTACAATCAAATTGCTGTGTTTTACATTCACGTAAATGTTTTTCTCAATTTGCTTTCATATTATTAGGGGATTTAAAAAATAAGTTTGATTTAATTTTGTTTTTATAGTAAACATTTGTGTAATTCAGAGTCAAATAGAATAGCAAGATATTTTTTAGTACGGACAGTCATCTTCACTTCGCAATATGTTTAATAAACTTTTTTTTTCAGAGAGAGGAAAAAGAAGAGTATACCTGAATTTTGCATGGCTTTTGATATGGAACTTAAGTTATTTGCCACGTTACAATAGTAAAAGGATACTTTTTCATTTGAAACTCAGTTGAAGGAAAGGATTATTTTTTTGGTTGCTTACCACATCATCAGCCATAGTTCTTCAAATCACATTTAACAGCCAACAAATGACTACTGTTCAATAAAATGAATGAACCTTAAAGTAGTAGGATTTCTACAGGTAGAAGTGGTTGCTCTGGAGTATTCTGGGCAGAAAAATGGAAAGGCCAATTCATGGGGACAAGAAAGTAAGAGATGAAAGGTCTTTTTTTGTTTTTTTTCGGGGGGGTGGTGGTGGTGGTGGTGGTGCTGGTGATTGATCCCAGGGCCTTGTGCATGGGATGCAAGCACTCTACCAACTGAGCTGTATTCACAATTTAAAAGATGATATCTTTAACTGTCACTTTCCATTTCATATAATATTAAAATCCAGACTACCTATTATTTATATTATTATGCAAGATTATTTTGTAATTAACTACTTTTAGTACCTACCAAAAATAAATTACAGATTAAATGTTCAGAATCTTTGCTACATTGTTTGGAATGCTTTTGTAAGGTAAAATGATTATCATATTGACATAAAATGAACACATTAAGATTTAATTTAATAAACTTCAAGAACCTATGTCACAGCTAGTTAAAAAGAATTGTCAAATAAGCACAAATTTATATGAAGTAAAAGAACATTGAAATGAATTTACGAAAGATAGAAGATTCTTTCTATGAAGAGCTGTCTATTGAACCTCTGCTAGATAGAATCTGTAATATCTTGATGTCAATAGAAGGCTAGAATCATACTTTATATAGGAGGGTATTCTTTAGATGATGCATAGTTTATGCCCCCCTGAAGCACAATTTCCCCCTACATTCTACCCCTTTTTGATAAAATATAATCTCAAGGAAAGATTATTCTTGGTCACAAAATAAAGCTGGTCTCATTAGACTTGCCTGATTATTTACATAGATGTAGTATTAAGAATGTTAATTTAGGCTGGGATAGTGGCTCAGCGGTAGAGCATTTGCCTCGCACGGGCGGGACCCGGGTTCCATCCTCAGCACCACATAAAAAAATAAAGACATTGTGTTGTGTCCATCTACACCTAAAAAATAAATATTTATATAAAAAAAAGAATGTTAATTTATCATGTAGACTCTTACTTTTATATGTATCTTTTTTTTTTTTTTTGGTGCTGGGAATTTAATACAAGGGTGCTTAACTACTGAGCCACATTCCCAGCCCTTTTTTAAAATTTATTTAGAGATGGGTCTCACTGAGTAGCTTAGGTCCCCACTAAGTTGCTGAGGCTGGTTTTGAACTTTCAATCCTCTTGCCTCAACCTCCTGAGCTGCTGGTATTATAGGTGTGTGCTACTGCACCCGGCTGTAAATTGCATTTTCATAAATAATCTTAGATTGTTTTTTTAACTATTTATTTTTTGTAGTTGTAGTTAGACACAATAACTTTATTTTATTTATTTATTTGTGGTACTGAGGATTGAACCCAGGGCCTTGCATGTGGGAGGCAAGTGCTCTAACACTGAGCCATAACCTCAGCCCCTTAGATTGGGTTTTTAAAAGCCTCTTGTTGCTAAGCTTAGGATAGGAAGCCATGCCCACGAAACTCTTGGCACATGTTTTATTAGTATTTGTTCTCAATAGGAACCTAATTTTATTTTTTAAATATTTTTATTATAAGTATAGATGATTTTATTCCATATGTTTTAAATTGGGTACAAAAAATGATATATCAGAAAATTAGGGGAAATGTACCTAGAGTGATTTAATATGTTCTCTTTTCAGATTGAAAATATCAGAAGGAAGCATAATTATCTGCCTTTTATTATGGAATTGTTAAAGACTTTAGCAGAACACCAGCAGTTAATACCTCTTGTAGAAAAGGTAAGTATTTTATTGTTGAATACTTAAATTAGGTGTATAAATAAAGTATATTTTTTGGCATGAGTGGAGCTAAAATTTCATAAGCATTTTAAATTTACTTGTTTGCTTTTGCCTAGTGTTTTATATTTAATAAAAATTAGTTAAGCCTGTTACTGAAAAATGAAAATAAAAATTGCCCCATTGCTTTTGCCTTCTAGAATTCTTTTTGTCTGTAACTCAGGTTCTGTCTCATTAAATGAAAATTTAAAATACTAACATTTCTTTGAGAAGAAACAAAATTTTAATATAAATAATTGGAATAACAGATTTTTTTCTACTTATTTTAGCAAAAATTTGAATTGATTTCAGAAAAATTTAAAGTTAGAATGGACATTGATGGTAGAACAAATAGTATGGACTAAGTCTTGACTAAGAAATAGATTTCGTTATTTCTAATCTAGTATCTTTTCCACAGAGGGTTAACTAACACAAGTGAGTTGAAAATTCTGATTTCTAAGATATTTTTTCCTTCAATATAAGAAGGTGCTTAATAAAATATTTGCAGTGTAAATGAAATGCAATGAATTGTTTTTAAGTATATACTGTAAATCAGCATTTCTGAAAGTGACCATCGCTGGATAATCTTTAAAATACATGTTACCTGGCCCCTCCCCAGATGTTCTGATAAAGGGGAAGGATTCTTTAATAAGTTCCCCAAGTGATTCTAATGCAACTGATCTGTGTACCACATTTTGAGAAATACTGAGAAGATACTACTAGGCAAATAAAATTTTGGACCATTAATATAAAGACCAGATTACGTGGTAGGTATATTTTTCTTATTAATTTTAAATTTTACAAAGTGAAGATACATTTTATCCCAGACGTTTTATAAATTTAAAATAATATGAGATCTGCTTTAATAAGATTTTCATATTTACCTTATTACCTGAAACATGACTCAACTTTTAGCATTAAATGCAAAAATTATTGGAGAAAACTGCTACATCTTCAATTATTTTTTTGTTTTTGTTTTTTAATTTATGTATCTTAGGGTATTCCAAGATGGGAAACTGACTTTTAAAGTTTAAGGTTAACAATTAAGGTCCTGTGGTTATCAAAATTGTTTACAGAGTGCCTAGGCACAGTATTCTTTGTGTGAGACACCATGAAATATTTCTGTTAAGAATATTATATGAAAAAAAATATAATGTGGTAAATCATATGATAAGTCAGATTTTAATTTTAAGTAAATTTTATTAGGACCTGGACAAATATTAAGTGTATTTTAAAGTTGGTCTTTGAGTATAATTTTTATGTGAAGATTAGGAAAAGTTGTGTTTGATTTTTTTTTTTTTTTTTTTTAATGACAGTATATCCCCAAGATTTTTTGAGAGCATGAAGAATTGATTTTTAGCTTTTCATTAGAACCTTAATTCCTTAGTTCACATTATTTTGGACACAAGGTGGCAGTATATGAATACCTAATATTACTATGACACCAACTTCTATTTCCTGTTTGCTTTTTTTTTTTTTTAAGGAACAGAATTATTGACTTTCTAGTTTGTCTGTTAATTGAAACTATTCTTAAATAATACTACATAAGCAATATTGAGATGTGTTTATTTCTTATATACATACAATGTGTTTTTCCTCGTTGGTTTTGATTTGGTTGGAATACTTGAAATGTTCATTAAACATTTGTGAAACTATTCACTAAACATTTATCTAGATGCACCTATATTCTAGGCACTTTGTTAAGGTCTAGGAATCGACACATAAGTATATACATTCTTTTCTCAACCAGTTTGTGATATAGTTTACAAAAGTAAAAAAAAGTAAACAATTATAGTTTGTTTATGGATTGAATAGTAGTATTCCATTTAGGGCCAGAATAAACATCTAAATAACTTTGTAGCTACTCAAAATTTCCCATTCACAAAAATCTTAAATCTGTGGTTGGAATTTACTGCTTAATCTGTACCATTATATCAGGTTCCTTAGCACAAGTATATTTTTGTTCATCATGTTTTGAAAAAATTATTATACCACATTGAAATATCACTTTTAGCTAATAAATGCAGATGTTAAATAAAGCAGATTGAAAATCAGAATAGAATTACTCTTAAATTTTATAATTACAGTAAAAAGCTTTTATGGTGTTATTATTTATGTAAAATTACCCATAGAATTCAGAAATAGATTATTAATTGGAATCTTCAAGACTAGAGTTTTGATAACTGAGGCATAAAAATGAGTGAACTAAAATCTTTTTATTTTTCCTAGATAGTGAGCAAAAGTTGAATATTTTGATTCTCTCTTGGTTGTATAGCTATAATGAACTAGGCTAATATCTCATAAATGTTTTTCTTATATTCATTATACAAAACTGCTCAGGAGGTAAAACCAAAGTAACTGTATACTTAACTGTATCATATATCAAACCTGTAACTTAAAATGTAAAAAAGATTAACTAGTTTATGATGCGATTTGTGAAACTTCTACCTGTTCAGGTATACTTTTAGTACTTTTAAAATATTTATCTTAACCTTTATGTGTAATTCTGAATTGTTATCTACCCATATTTATAACAATTACCAATAATCTACCATATTGTAAAATCATGGAGATATAGTTGCTATGGGGATCCAAAGAGACTTCACCATTTTGAAATTTTTTAGGAAAATTCAAGACAGTCTGATTTAGTTGGTAATAAATAACTAACCTTCAGAACTTTCTTTTTTCTATCCCCAAATTAAAATAAAGTACAAATGTAGTTAATCACAATACTATTTACATTAATATTTATGATTATAGAATTATATGATTCAGGTCAATAATATTTTATATCTCCTTGGCACACTGTGTAAAAGGAAATTATTTTTAACTGTATTTCTTCCATGCTATTTAGAAATAGCATAGTATTTTTTAGCAAGGGCAGAACATAATATAGGCTTTGAGTTTATTCTCAGCTATACTGTCTTTTTTTATGGATATGATACATTTTAGCTGGAGCTTTTAAGCAAGTTATTTACTTTTCTGTAGCTTCTATTTCTCATCTATAATTTGGGAATCATATCTCTTGCACATTCTTGAGGATTAAATAAGACCCTATCTGTGAAATGTGCAGTAAGCACTCAATTAATGATACTCAATAATGGTAATTGTTTTTAACTTATTTTTTTGTACTCCTTAATTTATCTGAATTATTATTATTATTTTTTTTTTAAAGACAGAATGAGAGGGAGAGTGAGAGGGAGAGAGAGAATTTTAATATTTATTTTTTAGTTTTCGGCAGACACAACATCTTTGTTTGTATGTGGTGCTGAGGATCGAACCTGGGCCGCACGCATGCCAGGCGAGCGCGCTACCGCTTGAGCCACATCCCCAGCCCAATTTATCTGAATTATATAATTTAATATATGGACACTCTGCATTACATTTGTTTGCTCATTTAATTATATTGTAAAGTTTATATGATAAAGTAGTAAATTTACTTATTCTAAACATTTTGTAAGTATGTTCAGAGATAAATAGAAAAGAAGCACATATTTTTATTTCAAATTATACCAAAATCAAATTGTATTTTTATTATTTGAAACTAGAAAACTTTGCGTGGGATATGGTATAAATAACAGATTATGCTTATTAATGAAAAAATGTTGATGTAGGCTACTAATTTTTTTATTTCTGTATGGAATATATGGCCTATTTTCTAGGTCATAGCACTCAAATTTATCATAGTTCTGTTAATAATTACTACCTAATCCATCATTAGAAAGGCAATTTTTCTAATTAATCTGTTTTTTAAAATAATATAGCAGGAAAGGTCTGGTATATTGGTTCCTTTCCAAAGACCAGCAGAATTGACATCACCTAAAAGTTTGTTAGAAATGCATAACTTCAGGCATTTTCATTGGTATGTATATTGAAAAGCACTGCTATAGAATACCTGTCTGACCTCTATTTTACTATATATTAGTTGTGTGACTTTGGTCAAGTCTGATCACCTGTGAGCACTGGCTTCTTCATCTGCTAAGGAATAAAATAGAGTTGTCTTCAAGCTATGTAACTGTTATGAAGATCAAGTAATGTGTGAAAACATTTTTGAGGTCATGTAAGTGAGGCTCACTGACATCAGACGGTATTCCTTTTAGTATGATTTATAGGTAAAACAAATATGTAATCCTTTATTGGCCTTTTTTTACTCACTTTTAACTTTTATGCCAATTCTGCTTTAACTTTTATGTTGAAGTTATTTATTCAAATATGCAGAAAGCAACATAGGATTTTTTTTTTAATGCTAAATTTGAGCAAGAAATGAACTGTTTTTAAATACTTATGACTGAGTTTGACTCTGTGGATTGAATAACTTGTGTTGATTACAATTTAATAATACATTTCAACTTCACATGAGAAAGAACTGGGAGCCAAACATGATCCTTCCTTCCTTTTCTTTTTTTGTAGTACTAGGAATTGAACCCGAGGTCTTGTGTATGCTAGGCAAGGACTACCACTGAGCTACATCACCAGCTTTTTCTTATTGAGGGCAAAGAATAACTATATAATTTTCCAGAACTAATTTGTTGCAAGTCTCAAGTTATATAATGCTCTAGAAATATTTTTTGTTTGTTTGTTTGTAGACAAGGTCTTGTTGTGTTGCCCAAACTGGTCTCAAACTTCTTGTCTCAATCTGTCCTCCTGAGTAGCTGGGACTACAGGTTCACGCCGCTGCACTAGCTCTAGAAACCCTGTGGACAGTGCATTTTATTCCTTGTAGCTTGAGAGTACCCTCTTAAGCACATTTTATTTTAGTACAATCTAAAGCAGACCTAGAAGATTTTGTAATATACTATTTTTAATTTTTAGGCAAAAGAAAAACAGAATGCAAAGAAAGCTCAGGAAACCAAATGAAGAGGATGCTTTGGGATGTGTACACATTTCTGCTTCTACACTTATTTTCATGGCACCATTAAGTATAAGGAACTTTGAGCAACATCCTAATTGACTGAATGCACGTTTGGCAATAGTACCAGTCTGTCTTGTCTTTAATGCATGGATTAATAAACTTTTCCCCTACCTGCATCATGTGCATGCAGTGCATATTAAATAAAAATAATACTGAGAGTGCTTGCCCAAATTCCGTTTTTTTGACATTGGATCTGAGAACTCTTATTGGTATTCTGGATTTATAACTACAGTATGAACCTAGAAAATGCACAAATGATATTCTTTACCTGTAATGTTCTGATTAATCTTTTGATTTTTTTTAGCTTAAAATTTTTTGATTTTTAAATGTTAAATCTTAACTAAATCTTCTGTTTCTTCTTATCATTAATGGAAAAAATCAATATTTCTGTCTTTGACATGTGTTTTGAGAATCTTAAAACTAAAAATTTCCTCTTATACCACTTATTTGATTTTAATGCAGATCATTTGAAAAGAGCAAAAGTAAAATTTTTAGTGATTTTCATTGTTGCCAATAGAAAAGGTAATAAGCATTGCAATTTTATTTTAACAAACTTTCTTCAAGTGTTTGGGGTTATTTTTTAAACCATAGATTTATTGTAGGAAGATCTGAATATTATGCCTCAAAACAAAATTTCAAGTTAAGAACAAATTGTAATTCTTAAAGAGTTTTGGTATTATTACCAATTTGGCAACCTTGTCAAGTTGTTAAGGTGAGTTTTTATGGAAAATTTGAGGTTTGACAATTCAGGTTATCTGCTTTAAAAAAAGATGACAGTGGTGATAGAGGATCCTCTGTGCCAATTTGAATAAAATTAGTATAGCTCAGTTTCCAAGAGCCATGTAATGTACAATTTGCTCACAAAGATTTTTTTTTAGTGGGGGGAGTTGTTTTCATTTTTATTTTATAAAGTACTACTGAACTATATTCTTGCTTGTAATTTTCTTTTCCAAGTAAACTCTAAATGAAATTTTATAAAACTTCTTTTTATAAAGGAAATAACCCACTTTTTTCTTTACCAAGCACATTTTTGAAATTGATATGTGAGTTTTTAACATTTTATTATTTATTGTAAAATAAATTTAACATAATTTATTTTATTAGGTGGAATGTGTACCTATCATCCAGCTTCAACACATGAATTTTTTATGATTGTTTTAAAGCTTACTAATTGTGGTATTATTAAATGACTTAGAATTAATGCAGGGGAGACCTGTGGTAAAATTGAGTAGAAAAATTAATGAAATATTTTTCATATATAATTTCAGTTGAAAGTACTAAAAATATTTAGTTTTTCAGTTATTTGTGAGTAAATATATTTTGCTCTTGATATGGTAGTAATTATGGAGTGTTTCAAAACTGTGATACAATTTTAAAAAATGGTTTTCTAAGGATGTTCTTAGGCTCATCTCAATCTCATTCATTTATTTCAATTTAATTTCTATATTTTCTTTTATTGAGGCTTAAATTTTGTAAAGCAATGCCAGGATTATTGTAAAAAGTAGTATCAGTAATCAGATAAATCAATGGAATAAAAGACAGGACCTAAAAACATTAATTTTTAACTGATCACTTGATTTTTACAAAGGTGTCAAATAATCAAACAGGAAAGGAGAGTCTTCAACAAATGTAGGTAGGATAGTAGAGCTGAATATCCACTGAGGAAAAAAGGAATCAAGAGTTCCCTATCTCACAAAAAATTATTTGAGTTGAATCATAGATGTTTTTGTAATAGCTAAAAAATATAAGTCTTTTTTTCCCAGAAAACATTGGTGAATATCTTTGTGACTTGAGAGTAGCCAAAGGTTTCTCGGGTCATAGAACACATTAACCATAAAAGATCCAGGATTAGGTTTCATCAAAATTAAAAACTTGTCATTGAAAGACACCTTTAGCAAGAGTAGCTTGCATAGAATGACATCTTTAAAAGAGCTTTATAAATTTAGGTTATAGGTATAAGGATTTCTTAAAAATTTAATTTCTTATAAAAGTCCATGATAGGATTTCCATAGTTTAGGAATGGTTTATCTGCTGCTTCTTTAATGATTGCAAATGCATTGTGATACTTCATGTTTTTTTTTTTTCTGCTTGTGAATAAAGAAGTATGACTTGTCCTTGTCTTGGTCCTATATATCGCTGGTTTGATACTAAATCTGGAAGCTAATGAGTAGAGAAAGGGGAGGAATAAAGAGCAATCCAGAAAAAGATAAATATTAGTTAAGTGGATTTTGTTTTGCGGGGGGTAGATATTTTAAAGAACATCTATTCTGCTCATTTCACTTTTGTATTTTCTAAAATCTCATTTAATGACTGGGTAAATGAAGGCACTTCTATTTTATGCTTTTTTTTTTTTTTTTTTTTAACAAAGCTTGCCAATTCTTAGGGATGTACTTCTGCTGTTATAAACAAAGAAAACTTGCCAACAGCTGTAGCACAGTCTAGTCTCACCTCATATGTTTAGTTCTCAAGATAGCTGCCCTTTTTCTAGCAAAGAGCAGTCAGCTCAACTGTGTTACTAGAAAAACAAATATTTGTTATGGGATCATGACTGTAGGGAGTTGTTCCTCTGTTTAGGACCATGATTGTGAGTATTATGGTGCTACATGGAGATTACTACCTTTAATCCACCTAATCCACCTAGTTGCTTATAATATTTCAGGATACATGACTCTCCTCCCGCCCCCAGAAGGATATTAGTTCTTTTGCTTTAAAAAAAAAAATAATGTACTGGGAATTGAACCCAGAGCTGCTCTATCCCTGAGTTACATCCTCGGTCCTTTTTACTTTTTGAGACACAGGGTCTTGCTAAGTTGTTGAGGCTGGCATTGAACTTGGATTCTTCTGATTCGGCCTCCCAAGTTGCTGGAATTACAGGTGTGTGCCACTGCATTGAGCAAAAAAAGCTTTTAAGGTATTTCTCCCCTGAAAAAATTTAGAGAAAGCAAAGAAGCAAAAATTTATATTACCCACAGTTATAGCAACAGGGATGACCACATGAACATTTTATTGTATTTATCATTAAATATCATTTTCTCTATGTGTATACTGACATTTTCATATTAGTTTTGCAAGCCCTCCCTAATACTCTGCATTAGGTTTATGTCATATATGTTATTTTTAAACTTGATATGAAATTTTTATTTTTATATCAGTGAAAATTCATAGAATGCAAACTATTTGAAAGGGAATTAAGATTAATATTGGGAATTTTGAAACTACCTACTAGTTTCTTGTAAAGTCACTAGTGGGCTCAAACATGAGTCTCCAGAAATGACTCCTAGCAAAGCATATAGTACTGATCTTCTAACAAGAGAACTCCTACCTCTGCAGCAGTTAAGGAGTCTCTACTATTGGAGTTAGTGAAATTAGAACATGTTGTAGTAATTGTGTTCCAGGACAGTGAAACCTACTGTAACTATCTGTTGGTGCTTCAGGAACATATACTGGAATGCAGAATAATTCAACTTCTCCATGGCTAAACATACCACTTAAAAATGGTTGAAGCAGTGGTCAGATAGTTTCTGTTGTACTCTTGCCTTTCAAATCTTACATGAGCTTTTCTGTAAGCATTTCCAGGAAATTGAGGTTTTAGCTTTCTAGTCTATACAGCATAGGAACATATTAGGAAGGAAGTTGAAATGGATGCTGACAATCACACATTTTTACACTTTTCTACATTGAAACACATTTTTCCTGCTTGCATAAATAATATGTTTCTTTTAGAGAAATGAAAATGCAAGCAGAAAAAATAAAAATCTAATCCCATTCATTAGAGAGTGAGTCATGATTAGTGCTTTGAAGTATCTAAGAATATGTACATTTACAATTGTGTGTATATACATATATATATATGTAGAAATTTTCTTTTATAAAATGGGATCATACAATTAAACATTTGTTCTATGCTTTTTTCCATAAACTTCACATCGATAAATAGGCTTACATCTTTTTTTTTTTTTTTTAGTTATCCCTTAGTATTCCATTAAATAGATACACTTTAATGTATTTCACAAGCTCCATAGTAAAGAATAAAGTATAGAAATAAAATGGACAAACTGGATAGCTTGATTTTTTAGGGTAAGATTTTCTTGAAAGTCAATTCCTAGAACAGTCAAGGATGCATGTTATTTAATTTGTTCATGTTCTTAATCTTTACTGGCCTAAATCTAGTGACTGACAGTAAAATTTCACCACTTCTAGCATATTTGCTACCTTTTATTTTTAACTTGATTATACTAATTCTTAACTTTTCAGTAATTTTCAATCTGTATCTGAGTTGTTCTAGATGCTGAAAATATAGTGGTGAAAAAGATAAATTCCTGCCCTCATGGTGAAATGAATATAAGTATGTGAATGTTATTTTTCTAGTAGTTAGGGAGAACTGTAAAAAATAAGAGAGTTGAGGTTTGATAGGATGGTCATGGAAAGTCAGCCCCTTTAAGGAGAGGATATTTAAGCAGAACCTAAATGAAGAGATTTTCTACTCAAGTACTGAACCAGCACAATGAAAGTGGATTGCATGCCGGCAAAATCAAGTTTAATAATTTAGGATGCTAATTTGCAATAATGTTTGATAGTTAAAAGATTTATGAAAGTTAAAATAGGGTGTTAATATGAAAATAGGTTGAACAAAAATATATAAAAAAGATTAGGACCACTGGTCTATGTGCCTTTTAGACTCTTGATGTTCTATGAAACACACTTCTTTGGCTCTTTCTTGTAGCAATAATATAGTATTGACTAAACCACAAATTCATTGGGAGGAAATCTCATGTAAATTTTTTTTTGGTTGGTTTTAAGAAAATTTTTTGTTTTATTTTATTTGGTGGTACTAGCATTTGAATCAGGGCCTCATGCTAGGTTAGTACTCTACTACTTCTACATCCTCAGCCCACAGTTGTGTTTCTAAAAATAATTTGAACCCTACTCCTTTATAATAAAGTTGTAAACATGAAAATTAAAACTGAAATTACTAGAAACAATATGAAATAGTATTTTATTATTGAGAATAGAAACAAAACTTCCTAAGCAAAAAGTAAAGCAATAAAAAGAAAACAGAAGAGAAACAGTTGACTATATAAAACTAAAAGATTTCTGTACAGCAATAGATGCCAGAAACTCTTAAAAGACAATAATCCAACCAATAAAATTATCATATATCAGAAATATAGTTAACATATACTGAGCACCCCTATCAAAAATGGTATGGAGGGAGCAGGAAAAGCACTCAGGAGAAAAATTGGCAAGCTGTAGGAACAGAAAATTCAGAGAAGAAACTAAAATGGCTAGTAACACAAAATATGGTAAATCCCACTAGTCATCAAGAAGATGCAAAATAATAAAGGAATGTTCTTTCGTTTCTGTTTTCCCCTACCTCCTTTCCTCCTTTTTTCTCTCTGGCCATCTTTCTCCTCTCTCTCTCTCCCCTCCTTCTTTTGAAGCATCTCATGATGCTCATCATTCTTATATACCTCCTTTACATATTTCCACCATTCTTCTAATTAGAATGATTTTTAGAGATGAAAGTTGTATTATAGACAAAATTGTAATGTGGAGGTGCTTGTGTGAAAAAAACTATCTCTGGATTTATCAGAAGCTTTGTAGGAGACATTAATGACCTTTGCTGAGTTATTAAGGAATGCATAGAGTAAGTGGTAACCATGAGCTCTGGGATTCAGTGGCTCCCTGAGGGCTGGTAATTATGATTTCAATTAGAGGCTATCTATTGTATCCAGGTTATGCTTTCCAGGCAGTGTCTCCTAGTGAGGTTACCAGGGTCCAAGATCTGTCCTTTCAGCTTATGATTTGAGTGTAGTCATTGAAGGTGATAAGGACTTTGGATTGTTAAGCCAACTTAATAAAACTTGCAGGAGACTAATGTACACCTGGAAATACAACTTCTTTTATTTTACTATTATCACTTCCAGCAGACCAGACATTCCTATCAGCCTATCAATACATTCTCTCTCTAGCAGATAAACTTACCAAGGAAACCAAAGTAAGACCAGAAGATTGGTTGACTACAGAATTGTTGCTAAGGAAATTTTTTTAATAGATACTGGCTGTGATAGATAGCCTGTGATATGTTTTGCCATACTAGACAAATCTTTCTCCATTACGGACCAACTTGTTCAAAATGTTAACCATCCTTCCTCACATTACTAGGGACAGAATGACAAAAACTTAAACTCCATTATTATCACTTTTTAAAAATTTGTTTTAATTAGTTACACATGACAGTACAATGACCTTGACATACCATACATTTGAATCAGATGGGATATAATTTCTCATTTTTCTGAGTGTACAGGTTGCAGAATCATATTGGTCATGCAGTCACCTATATACATACAGTAATAATAATGTCTGTTTCATTCTGCTATCCTTCCTATCCCTCCATCCCCTCCCTTTTTGGTTGACATTTTCCGGCTCGCTTTCTCATATCAACAAATGTTTTCAAATGTGCTGTAATTTAAATTTATGCTTATTTGTTTCTAATTTTATGCTAATCTGCTGTTCTAATGACATTTGGAGAGGCTCCTTAGTTTAATTTTTGAAACTCCAGATAGGAGTACTATTTCCTATAATCTATGTAACATTCATGTATGAAGAATTAGTGTTTCTGTTCTAATGTTGCCAATGTGAGCTTTTCTAATAACTTCTATCTAATTTATTAACTTGGAATGCTCTGCATACTTATAATAGTGGTAAGCTTTTCTCTTAAAGAACACAGAATTGCTATTGGAGTGGCATTGCAAATACAGTGAACATCTTGGGTGATGCAGTTCCTTTTTTTGGATTTTATGCAGAAATTTACTTGAATTAACATTTGCAATTAAGGAAAAAAAAATTCCCGATATGCCAACTTAAGTATTCTCCTTACATTTTCCACAAACAACGTGGCCACACTGCTCTCCTTCTATGAACTATACTTTGTTGCCAACTTTATTGAAGTTAGTCAACACAACTTCACAGTTAAAACACTGAATTCTGTGCTTACTACTTTATTTTCAAATTGTAACTCTGTCTTGCAGTATGGTGGAGGGCAGACTATTGGGATTAGATTTAGGAGATTTATAATTCTAGTCCTGCTATGCTATTTATCGTATGATCT